GATTCCGAACCTCTGTCATGGCAAGGTCTGCTGCCTGTAGCTCCATCGTCGTGGAACAGGGAAAACACACAAGCCTGCCACAAAGCTACGCAGTGCGCAAGGTGCTGGCGTGGGTGGGTGTGGGGGCGATTACAGTTAGAGACATGGGGACAGGGAACCACCTATCCGTTTGGCCAGCGAGGTGGCTTGAGCACTCAGCGTGAAGAGTTCAGAACGTGAACGTCTGAAGTGCGTCTTGATGGTGTGTGCAGCTGCATGCCACTGCCCACACTCGATGCAGTGATGTACAAGGGACGGCATAAGCGGCGAGCGCAGCAGTCTGCCAAGTCCGTGTTCACGCATGATATCGAGCGCGAATCCTTTATAGGCTCCAGGCTCCGCTGGAGGTGACGGGGTGGGGCCTGTGATGTTGGGCTCAGCTCGGCCAGACATCAGAGGCTCTGAGGGCAGTTCCGCGTCCTCGGCAATCCTGGGGACCTAGTGGCCGATGTCTGATGGATCACATGCGCTTCCCAGACCTCTCAGCGCGTGAATGAGGCTCCACACAGGGCACAGATTGGCATGCCCCGGACCGAGTGGATCGCTCTGTTGAAGGGTATCTGCGGCATGCTGAGTTTGTGGGTTTTGGTCATGCGCCACCTCAGAGTCGATGGCTATGGCCTGTGGCTGTGGATCGGCGCCCACTTGCGGAGCCACCGCCTCTGCGAGCAGAGAAGCCTCGTGTTCTGGGACCTCAGTAGGAGTTTCAGGTGTTGGCTGGGCAACTTGGGTGAGGGACCTTTCAGGTGAATTCGGCTCGGTGTGGTCGTTCTGTGAGTGATGTGGCTGTGCTTTTGTTTCGGCTTCGGTACCCCAGGCCTCCAGTAACTGCTTCATCCAGGGATGCGTGGGGCCCTGTGTGAAGGCGTCCTGAGGGTCGCGTCCTGCCTCAAGTTGTCTATGATGCTTGAGCAGTACTGTTTTGGGTTCCGGAAGGCTGAGTCTCATCAGGAGGGCTTGGTTGGATTCATGCGTCAAGTGTGCTGGGGCTTTGGCAATGGCACGGAGCTAACGAAGGAGGACCCGGTGGAGCCTCTGGTATGGTTGACTGTCCAGTCCGCAAGCCCCTAGCCCATATAATGCACTAGGCAAGACTGTGGATTGCCAGAGCAGTACCGGCTGCCGTAGGCCGTAGGGTGAGACCCCGGCGTCCTTGAAGGATCTTGTGGAGGCGACTCTGCGTAGCCTTGCATTTGGTGAGTCGATGCTCCAGCGTGCTGGCTTGAAAGTTTCGGTAGGATATCACCGCCCCCAAGTACACCGTCTGACTGACTACCGGAAGAAAGACATCCTGACCCGAGGACCGAACTTTGAGATGTCTCTGGTCCTTCTGTATCCGTGTGAATTCAGCGATGGCCTTCTTACGTTGGGCTCCCTGCATAGTAAGGATCACAGCCGCTTTGTCCGCATTCACTATCATGCCGTGTTGCTTGAGGGTGCTAAGAACAACTCCCAAGCACTGTGTAAATTTGTCAAAGGCAGGATAGGAGTGGAAAAGGCTGGAGATGTGCCTATCGTCGGCGTAAAGAGTAAGGTGCTTTTGGGACCACTTAGCACCAAGCTTGGCATCTAGCCGTCTTGTGACCATGGTGGAGAAAGCAGCAAAGAGCAGTGGAGAGACCGGGCACCCCTGCTTGACACCTCTAGCTGACCTAACATCAGTGGAGAGGAGGCCGATGCGTATGCGATAGGTGCTGTTCTCAATCCAACTCAGGAGGATTTCAGCCGGACTGCCCTCAATGCCCGCCTCCCGCAGGGCTGCGCGAAGCCCATCTCTCGGCATGACGTCGAACGCCGTTGACATGTCCAGGCACACCTGAACACCGCCGGACAAAGGGACTGCACTGAGTCCAGCTCTTCTGGAGTGAACGTTCCGATTGTTGCTGTCCCGCAGAGTCTGCGCTTGGTGACAGTGATAGAACACTCTACGTAGGGCCTCCTGCGTGGAGCGTCCCCGTACGTATGCGTACTGTGGGGAGTCCAGAACATATGTCTCAAGATCATGCTTGATTTTCCGAAACAGCATGCTGATGGATGCTTTCCCTAGGGCGTCAATCAATCCTATAGGACGGTAGTGGCCGGGGGCGGTTCCGGGCTTACCAGGTTTTAGGACGAGTGCCAGGCTGGCCATGCACCAGTCGGCGGGATGCCGGCTCGACCTGCGCGCCATCTATGGTCAAGGTCAGCTGCGACGACATGTGCAACCTGGTCCCCACATAGCCTCCAGATGGGTCCTGGGGATGATCCTGGCAGGCCTGCCTTGGATGCAGACAGGTCGTCAATGGCTTCCCTGACTTGTTCGGGCGTTACCTCTACGTCCTCAGCTATTTCAACCGAGGCATGTGGGGTGGCGGAGTGTGCTTGGTACAGTTGCTCGTAGTGCTTCTGCATCTCTTTGAGCTCAGCTTCGGGTGTGAGGAGCTTCCCATCCAATCTGAGTTGGAATTTCCGATAGGTTGCCTTGGGGGCAAGTTCCTGTATGATCCTGCGGTGGGCTTGGAAGTCTTTGTCTTCGGCAGCCTTGCGTGCAGCGGCCAGAAGATCCGCAGTGCGCCGTTGTCGTAGCAAGCGACCGCACGCCTTGGCAGCACGACGCAGTTTTTGGAGATATAGGGTGTGTTTCCAAATTTTGAACGACTCTGCTAGGGAGGGCTTGCCTAGTGACCTGCGGACAATTGCTGCACGGGCTCGAAAGTCACCCCACATTGCGTCGGCATATCCTATCATTGTACCATCTTGCCATGGTTTGCTGGATTTCTGGGGGGGGCGCTTGGGGAAGATCCTACAGGCAATGTCAAAGACTCGGGCTTGCAGTTTCTCTACGGTCAGGGTGTCTCGTGTGACTAGCTCTTGCACCTCCGTGCGGAATCGGGATATTCTGGGATCTTGTTCGGCTTGACAGGCTTTGAGGACCTCCATCCGATCAACCTCTAGCTGACCTGCCGGCTGCCAGCGATACATCACTTTAGCACAGACGGGGAGATGTCGGGGCCCACCCCGCCAGCGTCCAACCTGAAACTGTTGAAGTGGGTACGCGCATCGCGCCTGGGCACCAGCATGCAGCCTACATGTGATCCAGAAATCAATCTGTGATTT